GGTCGCAGGCACCGACGTGTTTTTCGCACGACCTTCGACAGCAAGATGTTGGGAGGACGGCTTGATGGGAGGACGTGGTGTACCACCAGATTGGAAGAACGAACCCGGTTGGTGTGAAGGGGTGGTAATCGTGCACGCAAGGTAATCCGATCACAAAACCATTTGTCGTGACAAACAAACCGAGCACGCGTTTGTCGACTGTGGTGGATAAGCAGTGTGACAATTGGGTGGGGTGTGGCCCGCACTCACGGACAGACAGAGTGTGCAGGTACTGAGGCAGATTAAATGTGTAATTAGTGGTGTTCGTTTAAACACAACTGAATGTGAAAAGGAAGGAGAGGGCTTGGTCGTCGTCTTGGCGCGATTGCAACACAAAAGTGGTGTCAAGTTTTAGCAAATTGCAATCGATTTCCGAAGACATTGTGTTCTTATGTCCATCTTATCTATGGAGGAAATGTAATCGTGTGCGTAGCCACTGCTTTTCTAGCTATCAGTTTAAAGTTCGTGTTCAGAAACCTCTTGCCTCATTGGACTTCGCCCAGCCTATCAGCAGCCTCTCCGTGAAGCTGCACTTTAAACGCAAGGGTCGTTGTGTGGCCAATAAAACTGGACTGGCGTTTATTGTTAGGTATATTTGGAACCTACATCTCCACCTCCGTCTCGTTCACTTCCGAAGTGGGGCTTCCTGTGTGGTTTAAATCCGCAGCAACTGCAGTTAACTGAGCTCCCAAACCACACGAAACCTAAAACTGTCGAAGTCGTAGCGCGTTGCTTCGTTTGATTGCAAACCGTCAATTACCGGAAGCAATCTGCTGGCAATCCAATTTTGGACATGCCAAAGTGTTCGCCGAATTGTCCCTGGTTTCAGTGCGATTTTAATTTTGGCTCTTTCTTCGTTGTAGAAGTACATTTGAGGGTCCATCGTACGCAGGGCAACGTTATTGCGTCTTTCCGTAAATGTTGTCCACTTAATTTTGGGACAAAATTTGATTGGTCATCTATGATCTCTTCTTGTGCAGCCATCGCAGTTCCGACGAGACAATGTGTAGATCTTATCAAAAAACGACTTCGGTTTAGCCGTGGAATCGGATCGGTTTTGCTAACATGTTGATCAGAAAACAAAGGCGCATTACTGTTCGACACAATCTTCTTAATTAAACCGATGCATATACGCTCAACCTCTAAACTCCGTTTGCGTGTTTTGCCTCAACTCTACGCTAGTCTTGCGATCTCTGAGCCATTAGCTTCACTCCCGTGTCTCTACTGAAATCTGTAAGTACTACAAACAGAATAGACGATTTTTAAGCTCAACTAACTAATGAGAAAATGGCGTCGCTGGCGATCAATACGCCTGCACGCCGTGTGCTCAAGGCAGGTCGAGAATGTCTTGGAGCTGTCATCTGACTTAGCATCACCGCTAACTGGAAAGGGCACCTACTTGGAGACCAGCCTCTATCTCTACACCGCTGCGCGCGCCATTTGTAAATCGACATCAATTCGACTGGTTTTAACGCATTTTCGTGAAAAAAAAACATGTGTTTTATATTTCACACTAGACCCTCCAATTAGCGTGTAATGTGGGTTCAACCGGTGTCATTATCGAGGTCTTTAATTAAGGTCAGGTTAATCTGTCATGTGGCTGTTTGCAATGCTCCGATGTCAATTCGCTACACCTCGATACCACCGCGCCAATAGCAGTGGCCACAAAGACGACGGACAAGCACCCCCTCTCTTTTCACATTCAGTTTTGCTTAAATGACCACCACAATTGCACACTTTGTCTGTCCGTGAGTGCGGGCCACACCCCACCCAATTGTCACACTGCTTATCCACCACAGTCGACACACGCGTGCTCGGTTTGTGTGACACGACGGATGGCTTTGTGGTCAGGGTACCTCGCGTGCACGATTACCACCCCCTCACACCAACCGGGTTCGTTCTTCCAATCTGGTGGCGCACCACGTCCTCCCATCAAGCCGTCCTCCCAACATCTTGCTGTCGAAGGTCGTGCGAAAAACACGTCGGTGCCTGCGACCTCGTCAAACACACCGACTTACTGTGGACTAACACTTCGTGGAAGTCTGCGGTGTGTTGGAACGAGGTGCGCTGTTGGTTGCAGACGTCTGGTGGCTAGAATCGTGTGTGTTGTGTCAAGCGAGGCTTGAATTTATGCCACAACCGTGGGTGTGCCACGGCTGCACGACTGGATGTGTACATTAGCGACTGGTGCACCTCGTGTGTTAGCATAAACAATTGTGTGTGTGTGTTTCGTGTGTGGTTCTTCTGAAAAGACCACGCGATTATCGAGGCGGCTCGGGAGTCAAATCGCAAATCGATGGTCGCGTAGACGAGTGCAATGTGATTGGATGACCATAAATGGGGTTCTTAACGTGGTTGGTTGAGGGAATCAGTAGGAAATGGTTGGTTTCTACGGCGGATGGAGTCTTCAGTACAAGCCAATTTGTAAATTCGGCAAAGTTTACAGCTGAAAATCGATAGTTCTATTGTTATTTGAAATCGCCATTAACGACTGTTTCCAATCTCCGGTAGGCAGCACAAAAAAGTGATTGATATTGTTTCGCTATCGTTAAATTCGTTCCTTAAATGTTGATATCGTCGTAGTTTCACCTTTAATTTGTCTTCATTGTAGCCTCAAGACGGATCCTGCGACCGCGCACCACAGACCTGCCTTCCAGCCCTCGTGAAAGAGTCCTTGCCGCCTCAGACCAACCACGATGCCGCTCTCTTTGCCTACCGCCAACCAATCCACAAACTCGGCATGGCGGGTGAGTTGTTTTTTTCTCCATTCTTACGGCTGTCACTGACAGCCAACTGGGTGTGATCATTTCCTCCCAAACCCCTGCAATGCAGCTTTTACACTTTTGTAAATCTGCTTCCTCATGATCCGCTGTTTTTGTAACCTTTGTGACGGCGAGCCCTCGTAAATGACACCAGCCATATCACTGAAAGTGTGTGTGAACGCCTTGGCGCATTAACCTGTCTTTTCCCAAGTCTACACCACACCAACGTCATATTCTACTCGCGCCCGTTTCCCGTTTGTTTTTGTTGTCGAAGCGGAACGAGTTCTCGGCCCTTGCCAAATCACCTCGAGTAGTTCGGTTAAATGTGGGTGGATCGTGTATGCTGCCTACGTTAGCGTTGCTTTGATCTCGGGGGTGGAGTTGAGAGCGTAATCCATCCTGCCATGATTCGGTGTTGTTTACTAACGCACCGACTGCGTGGCGGAGAATGTTTGGTTGTAGTGCAACCATATTTAGCCTATGACAGCGCCCCAAAGATACCATCACAACACAATTGAGGAGTTGTGCGACCCAGTTGTGTCACCTCGCATCTACTAGCAACGCCAAAACTCGCACTCTCGCTCGCTCTCACTCTCTGCGGTGTGAGTCGGGGCTTTCTTGTCTCCATTAGACTTAGGCATGTCCTCTAAGTGTAAGTCATTTATTGACACTTTGGTTAGGTTTTCCCCTTAATTCCCACGTCTCTCCTGTGTGTGCGGCATGTATGGAATTCAACTTATCGTAAACGCGGTGTTGGTTACAATGTTTTCTAATTGACTAACCCAGCTGGGTGGCTGACATTCAGCAAAAATGCCTTCATCGTTTTGAGTGCTAGTCGATTATTAAACGTTATGTGACTTCCCTGGGTTTGCTGGCGTGTCCGACGCTTTATCGATCTGTCGATTTAGCTCCAAATCGTCTGTCGAGTTCGGAACGTCTCCCGGCCACCACCGCCGCCGCCGCCGCAGCCTCAATTGTTTCGCGCCCTCTGCCGCCGTATTCCAATCAACGCCCGACCTCCAACGTGGTCATCCACGAGTCCCAGAAACTCGTGTCCTCGCACTACCGCCGGGGTCGCAGCCAATTCCACCCTAACCCACCCTACCGACGACCTCCGCTCGCCTCTCAACAACAGGTCGCGGGTATTTACTCGCAAGCGGCACCACCTGTGCCCTCTCCACCGAAACCCATCGATCACCAAAAGTGCTCCACCATTTCATCGGCACCTGAGCTCTACGGCATTTGCCCAGTGGGTGAAGCGGTCTCCCTCAAAACCTTTCGAAGTACCACCTCTACCGAGTACTCGCCCTGTTCAAACGAGGCCAAGCTGGAGTCTTCCATCGAGGATTACTCTCCTCTGGCAGACGACGGTGAGGGCGCTCTCATTCCCGATGCCGAGGCAGACGATGTTGTTGATGATGACGACTATGGTGAGGAAGCAGATGACGACGACGACACCAAGGCATATTCCGCAGCCTCGACAAGCACAGGGGCTTTATCCGACTCCTCTAACTTCTCTCATGCCGTCGTCCCTACCGCCGCCGCCGCCACTACCCCCTCCAAAGCCTCCAACACCGAGCAGCGCAGACGGTTGAGTATGCAGTCGAGTTTGAAGCTGCTGCAGGAATTGGTGCAGGCGAATCAACACCAACACTCGAAACAGCCAGATAACTCCCAGAAGCCCTCCAGATGCAGCAGCGGGTCTGGACGAAAAAGCGACTCGCCTGGGACCGCCGGCCAACCGAAGGCGTCCAAGGCGGCCATCCTGCGTGACGGCGCGGAGCTTATTCGCTCCCAACGCGTCGCTCGCGCCCAGCTCGACGCGGAGATTGGCCGACTGCGTGCCGAGCTCGACAGTCTGCAGTCCTCCATCAAGTAAGCTCCTTTTTGCGCTTCTCTGAGTCTGTGTGTGCGTGTGTGTGGAACGATTTCGATCCTACTGTCATCGCGAACTCGCTAATGCCGTGTTTCTAAATTTGGAACCCGTTACGTAGACAAAGGCGCTTGTTAATGGTTGGGGCGTTGATTGAGGGGCTGCAATTAACCCTCTTTATGGCCTATTTCCTACTCCCTCTTTTATGCGCCTAATTGGGCTGTTTATTCCTCATAACACTCGGCTGACGCCACGCACGACCAAATCACAGCTTTCATTCTGCCATCGACAGCCTCGGTATGTCGACCGGAGCGCAATCACTAGTCGTGATTGCGTGAAAATCACCAACTACTTACATCTGTGAGGCGGCATTCGGCTTTCATGCGGCACTAATTGATAAAATCAATAAGTCAGAAACTATTAAAAAGCCCAAATATGCCGAGTGGAGGATGGGGAGATTCTACAAGTCGCACTTGTCTCTTTTCATGTCTGCTACTTGCTTCTGCAGTCTGGTGGAATTTGTGGAAATGCGGATGTGATTTAAAAGTTTCTTGCAAACTCAAGCGCGCACGCACACGCACACACGACTCATTATAAATTCAAGTCACTTGATCCACTTTTTTCGTGTACAACAGTGCCTGCTGCGACAAACTGCCCGTCTCCGGCGCTGTGTCGAAGCACCAGGCGAAGGCAATGAAGAACGAGGCGATGTCGTGGTACCGCGGTTTCGTGGCCACCGCGTCCCAGGCCAACTGGAAGTTCTACGTCTTCAGCCTCATCTTCAACGACCTCTTCGAGAGCTACTGCGAGAAGGTCTGCTCCACGTCCAGTCTGGACGTCCTGCGACGCTCAATTGCCAGTTGGCTTGAGGACTGCTGCGACTTGCCGCAACTCCGCAAGTGTACGTCCCTCCCGCCTCCTCGCGTACTTTTGTTTAGCTTTATGACCGGCGCGCAAAAACCAAACAGACCAATCACAGGGCAGTAGGTAGGGGCTGCATTAACAATAGGTCTTGGTGTTTTTTATTTTTAGCCGGTGGGCGACAGCACCAACTGGCGCAATTTCCACGCCTGGAGACGCTCTGTTTTCGTTCTTGATTTGTACAGGTGAAGGTCACAGAACGAACCGACTGCTGCTGAAGCCGGGTTTTTTTGTCTTCTGATTTTCCGCTAGTCTGTGCGCCTCTTGGCGTTAGCACCACCGCCGCGTCACGTGGCTACGCGCCTCGGCCGTTCGGATGTGCGTGTGGGACATTTAAAAATTGCGCTTGTGGTGGAGCCACAGTAGCCAGAAGGTGGTATTAGAAGGCCATCTGTCAAAACCCCACCCCACGCCCCGCCTTCTCCTCCCCCTCCGCCCCATCCTCATGGTGTCCACGTGGTTGTCGTGCGCGCGTGTGTCTAGACCTCGCCATTCACATATATATATATATATATATATATATAT